GAGTATTTATTTTTATCTTGAAGTATTAAACCAAGACTAATCGCTTTTGTTTTAATCAATTTGCAGCTGTGGTTGGTGGCGGATTCATAGCCAAGGGTATCTCCATCGAAAACTCAGCAGGACCTAGTAAACACCAAGCAGTAGCCTTAAGGAGTGGTTCTGACCTCTCTGCATTCTACAAATGCAGCTTTGTTGGCTACCAAGACACCCTCTATGCCCATTCCCGTAGGCAATTCTACCGAGAATGTGACATATACGGGACAGTCGACTTCATCTTTGGCAATTCAGCCGCTGTGTTCCAAAACTGCAGCTTATACGCGCGCCAACCAAACCCCAACCAAAAGGTCGTTTTCACTGCTCAAGGGAAAGAAGACCCTAATCAAAACACTGGTATATCAATTTTGAACAGCAAGATGGTTGCGGCTGCTGATTTGATCCCCAACAAGACTTCGTTTAAGACGTACCTAGGGCGTCCATGGAAGGAGTACTCTAGGACCGTGATTCTAAAGTCATACATTGATGATTTGGTTGATCCTGCTGGATGGTTGGAGTGGAATGATACATTTGCATTGAGCACATTGTATTATGGGGAGTACATGAACCGGGGTCCCGGGTCCAACACAAGTGCAAGAGTAAAATGGCCTGGTCACCGGGTTATTAACAGCTCGGCTGAGGCAAACCAGTTCACTGTTGGGCCTTTTATTCAGGGACATGAGTGGCTGAATTCTACCCGTGTTCCTTACTTCCTCAATTTGAGTGCTAGTTGAGGAAAATTCCATTGAATTTCTTGATTTGAATTTGGTCGAGTAGCTTGGTGATTGATGTGGCCAGCTGCTATTACCATATGAATTGGTTGTATTGTAACCGATCTATCCAATAAATATTTGCTTTAAAGATGATTTTTCTTAAAGAAAATGGTGCTTCTTAGTCATAGCTTCTAAGAATCAGAGGTCTCCATCTTACCCAAAACAAATATGTATTTTGGGATCCCCAAGTTGGATCCACCGATTAAGGATTCATTTTTAAGAGTTTGTAATGCCAAGTTTTCGACTTATAGGTTAGATTTAGAGCTTAAATTTGAGGCTAACATTATTAGTACTTGAAATCGTTAGAAGAGGAATTAATTTTGAAGTTTGTAAAAATTAAATTAGGAATACTCTAATTGTAATAGTAAGTTTGAATTGAAAAATATTGAGAGAAAGAGGAGAGGAATGAAATAAAAGGAAATTAAAGAATGTTGTATTCTTTCATTCCTCTTCCCTCTTTTTATTTGAATAAGTAAATGAATTAAAA